AGGAATAACAACATTCTCAGCCGATACAACAGAAGTGAAAGTAACAGCGAATTTGCTTGGATCTTTGAGATACTCCTTCAACTCATATGAAGGTGTATTCATTGTCAACAACACTAGAAAAAAAATTCTTGTAGGTATTGATGAACACCCAACGCGCAGCTGCAGGAGTTAAGTAAAAGAGAGCCCATGATAGCGAAGCCACCATAGAAACACCAGCTACAAACTTGTCAATGAGGTCTTCTTCAGTGAGGTTAAGCACCTTTGGGTTTTGTTAATCCTGGTTGGAATGTTAATCCATTTGGAAGGATGACTTGTGCGACAGATCGAGCTCGATAGTATCAGCATTATTGATTATAACCTGTTTGTACTCATCCAAGATGCTGCATAGCTTCTTATCATAGGCTGGTTTTTTCTCAGCTTTCGTCACCTTGATGACCATTGTTAGCTTCTTTCTAATTATTTAAAGTTGTACAATAGCCCTGGTCGTCGAAATGTTTGTATTGTGGATTGAAATGCACAAGTGAATCTTGTGCTTGAGATTTGTGACGTAGAGATGAACTTTGTGTCAGAACTTCAACCAACTCTAACGCGGACGTAGAGGTCGCGTTTAGGCAGGATTCTTATCTAGAATCTCGTTCTGATTTGACAGCTCACAGTTATCCATAAATAGACCGTTATGGTCAAATCAAGAGTCATTCGACTCTTCTTCGTTCTTCCTTGAACCGTTTAATGAATAACTCTTCGTTTTAACCTTTGGTGAATCCTGTTTATCTTCTCCAATCATCCTCATCAATGGCGCCCAAGAAGAAGACTATCTCCCGACCCATGCCTGTTGTCACCACGACTCAGAGTTCGCTATCGACTTCGGCCGCCGCCTACGCTACGGATCAGGCAGGTGTGCCGCTACCACATTTCCCTTTCGTCGGTGGTAAGTATGGCCTTTGTGGATGTAAACCTTGCTTCGGCAAGTTCTAAACTTTGAATAACGAGGAAACTTGTTTTAATGATATAACGTAGAGTTGGGACTCTGTCTTTTGGAATTTGAAGCGTGGGGGTTCGACCTCTGTGCTTGAATTTTATAACGCAGGGCTTGGACTCTGTGTTTGCCTTTTACAACGCATGGTCTGGCCTCTGCGTTTGAATGTTTTAACACAGTGTCTGACCTATGCATTTAAATATTACAACACAGGGTCTAGCCTCTGCGTTTAAATGTTTTAACGCATTGTCTGACCTATGCATTTGAATGTTACAATGTAGGGTCTGGCGTCTGCGTTTGAATGTTTTAACACAGGGTCTGACCTCTACGTTTGAATGTTTTAACGCAGGTCTGACCTCTGTGTTTGAATATTTTAACGTAAGGTTTGACCTATGCGTTTTAATGTTACAACGCAAGGTCTGACCTTTGTGTTTGAATGTTTTAACACAGGGTCTGACCTCTGCGTTTGAATGTTCTAACAAGGGGTTCGACCTCTGCAATTGAGTTAGGTCTTATTGCTCTTTTCTTTTGTAGTACCTTATGCCAATGAACCCCTCACTTTCCACCATCACTTTGGTCATGAAGGTGATGTAGACTTAAATATGTAATTCAATATGCGTCAAGAACTTCCAATTTTCCAAGATGCTGATAGGGAACGTGCCACTTTGATCACCTAAGCTAATCCGATCGTACTCAGTATTTTGGTTACAGATGCCAAGTTTGAAACTGAATCTCGTAAGAAATTCATCAAGCTGGCATTTTTGTTTGGAGATAACATTGTCATTTAGAGAGAAATCTCATATGGTGGGGATTACAAATGGTTAAGACAGATAGGGGATCGCCTCTTCTTCCTTCCTGATATGCAGAGGATGTTCCCTATCTCATATTACCAATGTGCCTCCGTCTCCAAACATATGAATTAAGATCTTGTCAGAGAGCAGGATGGAGTAGTAATTAGGGCCTTGACTTTTACTGACGTGCACACCGTAGGCTACAATCGATATGTGTCAGCTTTAGAGTCATGCTTATTCTCAAGATGATACCCTATGGGGAAAACAGCTAGTCCAGATTTCCCTTCTTTAGTGTTTAGAACAAACGGATGGGTACATTCTACCAGAGCAGGGTGGTGGATGAGAATGATGGAATTTGTATTGAAAGAGTTAGAAGGACCGTTAGCTCGATCTGGGCTCGGCTGCCCTATAATGGCTACCAGATATGATATTGATCACAACCATTATAATTTTTATGCTATCTTGGAGAGATACAACCCAGAGACGTGTACATTCTTCACTCCGGTTGGGGAATTAGGGTTTGTTATCCATAAAATGTATGACGTTCCTGGCCTTCCCTTCGAATATTTACCCTATGAAGAGTTTATCCCAGGGTCGAGTGCGCTTAGGATTTTTAAGGAGACCAGCCCTGAGATCTATGACACCCTATGTGAGGTGATGTGTTATTTTCAAATTTGTATCCAGCTAACGGGGACACGAGGAGGTGGCATAAAGCAGCTATCTTGGGCTAAATATCTTTTTTAGAACTTATCTCATAAGGTTGCTACTGTATCTCGTCGAGAT